TTACTTGTGTGTTTATCCTCAAATTTTATTAGGGAGCTTTTTTTGCATGTTTTTTGTTTGTTTGTTTGTTTGTTTGTTTTTTGATGGAATTTCACTCTTGTTGCTTAGACTGGTGTGCAATGACACGGTCTGGGTTAACTGCAACCTTTGCATCCCGTGTTCAAGTGATTCTCCTGCCTCACCCTCTGAGCAGCTGGAATACAGGCAGGTACCATCATGTTCAACTAATTTTGTATTTAAGGAGATGGGGTTTCTTGAGGTGATTTATGGCCTAGCCTGTGGTGGTCTATTCTGGGAGGATGTATGTGTATATGACAGTGTATATTCTGCAGCATCTTAGATTTCATTTTGGATGCTCTGATCGGGTCTGTGAGTCACTGCATTGGAACTCAAGTGAACACTGGCTCAAAATCCATTGCTATTCTCCAGAAATCCAGCCCAATCTGTTGGTTAAATATAATGTATGTCTAGTAAGCCTTGCTTTTTCTCTTTGGGGACAAAATTCAGAAGGATTGCTCCTTCATGAACAAGGCTAACCTGCTGAGCCTTTGAAGCAAGGAACTAGAGATGGTCTTTTTAGGAGTTTATATTCTGGATTCTAGAAACAGGCAAACAGGGCCAACAAATGCATCTTTTTGGTGTGTCCATTTTCACTTGGTCAAGGAAAATTTCACAAAAAAACCCATGGTCCTGGAGCAAGAAGATGTCATGCTGTGACCCTCTAAAGGGTGGTGTGTTCTGTTGTCTTCAAGAAAAGCATCGAACGCGCCCCCCTTTAGGGGGTAACTGTGTGAGGAAAGCAACATTGAAGTTAATGCTGATCTTGGTAAGACATTTGCAGAGCGTGCTTATAATCAGACTTGGATGATGCTGGGTTCTGTTTCTGCTTTGCTTTTTTTTCCTAAGACTGGGACTTTGTTACCCAGGCTAGAGTGTGGGGAAACTTTCAACCTAGATATTTTGGGTTCAACAGGTCCTTTTGTTTTTCTTTCTTGAGAGAGAATTTGGTGGTGACACCCAGGTTGGAGTGTCTCTTTGGACAATCTAAAAAAGATTGCGTTCTGATGAATAAGGCTAACCTGCTGAGCCTTTGAGGTAGGAACTGGAGATGGTCCCTGTAGGGGTTTACGTTCTGGCTTCTAGCCATGGATTTTGAACTTTATGGCCTAGTCTCTGGTGGTCTATTCTGGAGTATATTTGTGTATGACCTTGTATACTCTTCAACAGCTTAGATTTCATTTTGGATGTTCCAATAGGGACTGTGTGTCCCTGTGCTAGAACTCAAGTGAACGCTTGGCTCAGAATCCATTGCTCTTCTCAAGAAATCCAGCCCAGTACTCTTGGTTAAATATAAGGTATATGTAGTAGGCATTGTTTTTTATTTCTGGCGAAAAAACTCAGGAGGATTGCCTTATGATTATCAGGGCCAACCTGCCGAGCCTTTGAAGCATGGACCTGGAGCTGGCCCTTTTAGGGGTTTATGTTCTGGATTTTAGAAGACACGCAAAGAAGGTAAATAAATGCATCTTTATTTCTGTATCTATTCTAACCTGGTCAAGGAAGATTCCAACAAAAATCCACGATGCTGGAGCAAGAAGATCTCAGGCTGTGACCCTCTAAAGGGAAGCACTTTCTGTGATGTGAAAAAACAGAAGTCGCGTCCCTTTGGAGTGTTACCGTTTGAGGAAAACAATGTTGAAGTTGATGCTGATCTTGGTAAGACATTTGCAGGGCATGCTTATAATCAGACCTGGATGCTGTTGGGGTTCTGTTTTTGTTTTGTTTTTTCTAAGACAGGGTCTCTGTTATCCAGGCTGTAGTGTGGTGGCACATCCAACCTAGATCTCTTGGACTCAAGTGGTCCTCTTTTAATTTTATTTTTTATTTTTTGAGGCGGAGTCTCACTCTATCACCCAGGCTGGAGTGCAGTTACAGGATCTCTACTCACCGCAACTCCTGCCTCCCAGGTTCGAGCGATTCTCCCACCTCAGCCTCCCAAATAGCTGGGATTATAAGCACCCACCATCACTCCCTGTTAATTTTTGTATTTTTAGCAGACAGATGGTTTCATCATGTTGGCCAGGCTGGTGTTAATTCCTGACCTCAAGTGATCCTCCTCCCTGGCCTCCCAAAGTGGTGGGATTACAGGTGTGAGCCACCGTGCCTATCCTCTTCAACATTTGAGATTCCATTTTGGATGCTCCCATTGCAGTGTGTCCCTGTACTGGAACTCAAGTGAACACTTGGCTCAACATCCATTGCTGTTCTCTAGAAATCCAGTCCAGTTCTCTTGGTTAAATATAAGGTATGTCTAGTGGGCGTTGCTTTTTCTCCTTGTGGACAAAACTCAAGATGCTTGCCCCTTGATGAACAAGGCTAACCTGCTGAGCCTTTGAAGCAAGGAACTGGAGATAGTCCTTTTAAGGGTTTATGTTCTGGGTTCCAAAAAACATGCAAATAGGGCTAATAAATGTATCTTTATTTTTGTGTGCATTTTAACCTGGTCAAAAAAGAATTCATAAACCCAGAGTGCAAGGCAAGAAGATCTCATGCTGTGACCCTCCAAAGGGAAGCGCCTTTTTGTTGTCTGAAAGAAAACAAGGCACTTCCCTTTAGAGAGTTAAAGATTGAGAAAAGCAACATTGAAGTTGATGCTGATCTTGGTGATACCTTAGCGGAGCATGCTTATCATCCGGCTTGGATGTTGGTGGAGTTCTGCTTTTTTTTTTTTTTTTTTTCCTAAGACCAGGTCTCTGTTACCCAGGCTGGAGTGTGGTGGCACTTCCAACCTAGGTGTCTGGGGCTCAAATGTTCCTCTTTTTTGGGACAGAGTCTTGCTCTGTGATCCAGGCTGGAGTACTGTGGCATGATCTTGGCTCACTGAAACCTTCACCTCCCAGTTTCAAGGGATTCTCCTTCCTCAGATTCCTGAGTAGCTGGGATTATAGGTGCCTAATTCCATGCCTGTATAATATTTACATTTTTTCATTTTTACTTATTTTTGAGACGTAGTCTCCCAGTCTCTAAGGCTGGAGGGCAGTGGCAGGGTCTCGGTCTACCCTGGAAGATGTTTGTGTGTACAACAATGTGTATTCTTCAACATGGTAGACTCCATTTTGGCTGCTCCCATCCGGACTGTGTGTCCCTGTACTGAACTCAAGTGAACACTTGGCTTAAAATCCATTGCTGTTCTATAGAAATCCAGCCTGATTCTCACGGTTAAATATGAGGTATGTGTATTAGGCATTGCTTTTTCTTTCTGAAGGCAAAACTCACGTGGATTGCCCCTTGATGAACAAGGCTAACCTACTGAGCCTTTGAAGCAAGAAACCTAGAGATTGTCCTTCTAGAGGTTTTTGTTCTGGATTTCACCAAACATGCAAATAGGGCCAATAAATGCATCTTTATTTTTCTGTCCATTTTAACCTGCTCCAGGAAAACGCCAACAAACGTGAAGTGCTGGACCAAGAAGATCTCATGCTGTGCCCCTCTAAAGGGAAGCATTTTCTGTTATTTGGTAGAAAAGAACTCGCTTCCCTTTAGAGTGTCACCGTTTGAGAAACGCCACGCTGAAATTGATGCTGATCTTGGTAATGCATTTGCAGAGCTTGCTTATAATCAGACGTGGATGATGTTGGGTTTCTGTGTTTGTTTGTTTGTTTGTTTTTCTAAGACAGGGTATGTGTTGCCCAGGCTGTAGTGCAGTGGCACTTCCAACCTAGATTTATTGGGCTCAAGTGGTCCTCTTTTTTGGGACAGAGTCTCGCTCTGTGACCCAAGCTGGAATGTCAGGAACTCCACTCACTGCAACATCTGCCACCTGGGTTCAATCAATTCTCCTGCCTCAGTCTCCCAGGCACCTGGGGTTACAGACCTGTTCCACCACGCCTGCTGAATTTTTGTATTTTTATTATCTATTTATCGATTTTTGAGACAGAGTCTCACTTTTTTGCCCAGGCTGGAATGCAGTGTTGCGATCTCAGCTCAGTGCAACCTCCACCTCCCACTTAGGCCTCCTGAATAGCTGTCTGCTTGCATGCACCACCATACCTGGCTGACTTTTGTATTTTTCATACACATGGGTTATACCCTGTTGCCAGGGCTGGTCTCGAACTCCTGAGCTCAGGTGATCCTCCCGTCTCTGTTGGGATTAGAGGTGTGAGCCACCATGCCCCACCCATACTTGTGTATTTCTGTTTAAATTTTATTCAGGAGTGATCTGCCCTGGAGAATGTTTGTGCCTATGACAATGTGTATTCTTCATACCTTAGATTCCATTTTGGATGCCCCCACCAGGACTGTGTGTCCCAATACTGGAATTCAAGTGGACACTTGGCTCAAAATCCACTGGTCTTCTCTAGGAATCTAGCCCAATTATTTTGGTTCAAGATAAGGTATGTCTAGTAGGCATTGTTTTTTTCTTGGAGACAAAATTCAGAATTGCCTCTTGATGTATAAGGCTAACCTCATACATCAAAGCTGTTTTTTTTTTTTTGACGCCTGGGACCTGGAGATGGTCCGTTTACAGGTTTATGTTGTGGATTCCAGAAAACAGGCAAACAGGGCCAATAAATGCATCTTTACTTTTGTGTCCATTTTAACCTGGTCAAGGAAGATGCTAGCAAAAAATCCACAGTGCTGGAGCAGGAAGATCTCAGGCCGTGACCGTCTACAGGGAAGCGCTTTCTGTTGTCTGAAAGAAAAGAAAGTGCAGCCTTGTAGAGAGTTACTGTTTGAGAAAGGCAACCTTGAGGTTGATGCGGACCTTGGTAACACATTTGTAGAGCATGCTTATACTCGGACTTGGATGATGGCGGGGTTTTACTTTTGTTTTGTTTTATTCCAAGGCAAGGTCTTTGTTGCCCAGGCTGGAGTGGGTGGAACTTCCAACCAAGATCTCTTGGGCTCAAGTGATCCTCTTATATTTTTATTTTTGATAGGGAGTCTCACTGTTGTCGTTCAGCCTGCAATGCAGTGTCACTATCTTGGCTCACTGCAACCTCAGCCTCCTGAGTAGGTGGGATTACAGGTTCATGCCACCATGCATGTTTAATTTTTGTGTTTTCTCTTCTATGTTTTTAGAGGTTGTTTCACCATGTTGACCAGGCTGTTCTCAAACCCCTGACCTCAGGTGATTCACCTACGTAGGCTTCCCAAAGTGCTGGGATTACAGGCATGAGCCACTCTCATTGGCCTTTTTTTTTTCTAATTTTAAATCTGGCACCCATTAGGAATTTGGATTTCATCTCTATGCAGGGGCCGTGGTAATCTCTGTTATTCCATTCTTTTTTTTTGAGACAGAGTTTTGCTCTCTTATCAGGCACCAGGCTGGAGTGCAGTGGCGCAATCTCAGCTCACTGCAACCTCCGCCTCCTGGGTTTAAGCAATTCTCCTGCCTCAGCCTCCCGAGTAGCTGGGACTACAGGCGCGCATTACCACGCCCAGCTAATTTTTGTATTTTTAGTAGAGACAGGGTTTCACCATGTTGACCAGGATGGTCTTGATCTCTTGACCTCGTGATCCACCCGCCTCGGCCTCCCAAAGCGCTGGGATTACCGGTGTGAGCCACTGCGCCCAGCCCATTCCATTCATTTTTTATGTGTGCTATCAGAGCAAGCACTTACGTGTAGGAAGTATTCTTTATGTGAGCATACAGTATATAGAACTTGTGTGCCCCTATACCGGAACTCAAGTGAACACTTGGCTCAAAATCCATGGCTCTTCTCTAGAAATCCTGCCCAGTTCTCTTGGTTAAAGATAAGGTATGTCTAGTAGGCATTGCTTTTTTTCTTTGAGAACAAAACCCATGAGGATTGCCCCTTAATGAACAAGGCTAACCTGCTGAGCCTTTGAAGCAGTGAACTGAGATGGTCCTTTTAGGGGTTTATATTCTGGGCTCCAGAAAACATGGAAACAGGGCCAATAAATGCATCTTTACTTTTGTGTCCATTTTAACCTGCTCAAGGAAGATTTCATCAAGAAATCTGTGGTGCTGGAGCAAGAAGATCCCAGGCTGTGATCCTCTCGAGGGAAGCGCTTTCTTTTGTCTGCAAAAAAAAAAAAAAGGCGCTTCTCTTGAGAGTGTTACGGTTTGAGGACAGCGGCGTTGAAGTTGTTGCTAATCTTGGTAATGCATTTGCAGAGCATGCTTATAATCAGGCTTGGACAATGGTGGGGTTTTGTTTTTGTTTTTTTCTAAGACTGGCTCTCTGTTGCCCAGTCTAGAGTGGGGTGGCACTTTCAACTTGGATTTCTTGGGCTCAAGTGGTCCTCTCTTTATTTAGAGATAGAATTTCACTCTGTCACCCAGGCTGGAGTGCATTGGCTGGATCTGCAATCGTCGCAACTCCCACCTCCCCAGTTTCACCTTAGCCTTGCAAGTAGCTGATATTACAAGTGCCCACCAGCACACCCTGCCAATTTTTATATTTTTAGGGGAGACGGGGTTTCACCATGTTGGCCAGGCTGGTCTCAACTCCTGATCTCAAGTGATCCACCTGCCTTGGCCTCCCAAAGTGCTGGGATTACATGCATGAGCCACCATGTCCAGCCTGAACTGGTCCTATTGAGTCACCCTTTCAAGTAGATGGGACTACATGGGGCGTGCCACCACACTTGGCTAAGTTGTTCATTTTTGGTAGGATGGGGTCTCTTTTGCCCAGGATAGTCTCAACTTCTGAGCTTAAGTGATCCTAAATGGATGAGCCCCCTTGTCCTGATGACCTCTTTCAAAGATAGGTGATAGGGCTAGCAACCTGGGGCACACAGAGTCCCAGTTACTGTAAAGACTGGGGTGCAAGTGTTCTTTCTTTGATTTCAAGGCTATAGCAAGCACTGATCACATCTTTATATAGTCATTGCGCTCCAGCCTGGGCCAACATAGCAAGATCCCATCTCTTTAAAAACAGATTACAAGGCCGGGTGTGGTGGCTCACACCTGTAATCTCAGCACTTTGGGAGGCCTTGGCAGACGAATCACCCAAGGCCAGGAGTTCAAGATCAGCCTGATCAACATGGAGAAACCCTGAAAAATACAAAATTAGCCAGGTGTGGTGGTGGACGCCTGTAATCCCAGATTCTTGGGAGGCTGAGGCAGGAGAATCCCTAGAACCCGACAGGCAGAGGTTGCGGTGAGCCAAGATCACCCCACTGCCCTCCACCCTGGGTGACAAACTGAGACTCTGTCTCAAAAAATAAAAATAAAAAAAAGAGTAAGTAAACCTCCATATCTATCCAGTCTAGTCTGTAATCCCCAATGGATGTCAATATTAATAAAATTTTCTTATTTTTCCTATTTATTCGTGTCTTTTCAGTTTAATGTTCTTGTCCCTGACACTAAAAATTTTTTTCTCCAACAACTTGCCATCATTTCTCAGATCTCCTTGTGCTGCAGGAAAGTGTAGTTGATCCAGTCCTCACCCAATAATGCCAACCCCAGTGAGTTCTGACTGCAGCTGCACTGGTTATCCTATTCCACCATCTCAGTGACCATCCCACTGGGCAAAACCTCGCATCTAAATGCCAGTTGCTTGGTAAGATGTGAAATGTTGGCTGTGGCTAATATAAGAAACCTATTGTAGACAAGATGAACCTCAGCCACGGTGATAAATGTTGCATGGGACAAAACCACAGACAGTTCCACAAAACCTGGAGGACCCTAGCAGGGGCTCCCTAATAACAGGTGGGGTGCACGGCAGCTCTTGTCACCGTAGTGAAAGATGCCTCTTCCCCAAGCACTCAACACCTTTCATGCCATGGAAGTTATGCCTGCAGTGCTTTATAGGACACAATTTGGGTTGAGGTAGAATTGAAGGGGACCTCGTTGTCCCTTGAAGATGGAACATGCACTACTTAGCAAAAGCACGGAGCTGCATTTATGACCACATCATAAATGCACAGTTGGCTGGGCGTGGTGGCTCACGCCTGTAATCCCAGCACTTTGGGAGGCGGAGGCGGGCGGATCACCTGAGGTCGGGAGTTTGAGACCAACCTGACCAACATGGAGAAACCCCGTCTCTACTAAAACTACAAAATTAGTCAGGTATGGTGGCACATACCTGTAATCCCAGCTACTCGGGAGGCTTATGCAGGAGAATCACTTGAACCCAAGAGGCAGAGGTGGTGATGAGGCAAGATCACACATTGCACTTCAGCCTGGGCAACGACAGCGAAATTTGTCTCAAAAAAAATGAAAGAAAAATAAAAATACAAAAATTAGCCAAGCATGGTGACATGCACCTGTAGTCCCAGGTACGCAACAGGCTGAAGCTGAGGCTTGAACCTGGGAGGTTGTGGTGAGCTGAGATTGCATCACTGCCTTCCAGCCTGGGCGATAGAGCAAGGCTGGCTCAAAAGGAATGAATAAATTAATGCATACTTGATTTAATTTTTCCATATCCAAGATGGGGGTTTCGCTATACCACCCAGGCTAAACTGGAGTCTGTTTCTTACCCCTCCCTAGTAGCTGGGACTACAGGTGAACATTTAAATCATGCACAGGCAAGAAGAGAGCAAGGCATGTACTTTGGTTCAATTTTAACATTTTGAAGCAATATCGCTCTGTCACCCAAACTGGAGTGCACTAATGTGATCTCTGCCTTCTGAGTTGACGCGATCTTTACTCGTTTTGAGACAGACGCTCACTCTGTCATTCAGGCTTGTGGGCAGTGGTGCAATCTCGGCTCACTGCAGTGTTCGCCTCCAGGGTTCCAGTAATTCTCCTGCCGTGGCCTCCAAAGTAGCTGGGATTACAGCTGCCCGCCACCACACCCGGCTAATTTTTAATTTTATTTTTAGTAGAGACGGAGTTTCACCTTGTTGGCCAAGCTGGTCTCCACCCCCTGACCTCAGGTGATCCACCCACCTCAGCCTCCCAAAGTGCTGGGATTACAGGTGTGAGTCACTGCATCCAGCCTTTTTTTTTTTTTTTTTTTTTTCTTTCATTTTTTGAGTCAGAGTCTCACTCTGTCCCCCAGGCTGGAGTGCAGTGGCCCAATCTTGGCTCACTGCAACTTCTGCCTCCAGAGTAGCTGGGATTTCAGGTGCATGCCACCACCCCTTGACTGATTTTTTTTTTCCTTTTTTTTTTTTTTTTTTTTAATAGCCTGGGTTTTACCATGCTAGCCAGGCTGATGTGGAAATCCTGACCTCAGGTGACCAACCCAACTTCACCTCTGAAAGTGGTGGGATTACAGACATGACCACCATGCCTGACCCTGTCTCTGACTTTTATGAACTGAGCAAGTAATCTTTTGAACTTTACTCTGAAATGTGAATTATTTTAGCATATTTGCCGCCACCACCACTCATGTTTGGAGAATTTTCATTACCCCTCAGAGGCTTATTCCCATGTGCAGCCAGTTCCCTCCCCACTCTTCCACCCATACCCTGCAGCCTCTCCACATCTCTCTAGCTCTGGATCTCCCACTTGTGGGCATGTCACATAGACCTGTCTTGAATGGGTGGTCCTGGCTGTCTGCAGTGTGAATTGTATCACTGAAGGGTGGTCCCTGGAGGGAAGCAGGAGGCTGGGAGAACTGGGCAGAACATCCTTTTGGAATGGAGTGGGGTGGGCAGAGCCTGAGGTCCGGGAAGCCTACAATGGTGGCAAATCCCATGTTCCTCCCTGAGAACTGCGAGGTGTCCCCCCTGGGACACTTGAAGGAGTGAAGGCATCTGGACTGGGAACACCAGGGCCTGCAGCAGTGCAGGCAGGATGAACTGAGGGGAGAGGAGAGCCAGGCAGCTGGCTGGGGACAGTTAGGGGTTCGGGTTTGACCTGGAAGGAGCAGGTGTGTACTGGGAGAGTGCTCCTGAGATTTTCACCCTGCTCTCCCCCCACCTTTTTTTTTTTTTTTTTTTTTAATGGAGTTTCACTCTTGTCACCTATGCTGGAGTGCAATGGCACGATATCGGCTCCCAGCAACCTCTACCTCCCAGGTTCAAGCAATTCTCTTGCCTCAGCCTTTGAATAGCTGGAATTACAGGTGCCCGCCATCATGCCCGGCTCACTGTTTGTGTTTAGTAGAGACTGGGTTTCACCATGTAGGCCAT